TACTGCACATCTCCACTGGAAGTTTTATGTTAGTTCAGCAATATTTAAATCTGGTTGATCAAAAAGTATACACCAGTGCAGGTTATTGTAGCATCTACGAACAAATGAATTAATGGCCCATTGGCAATTATTCCTTTAGGAAAAATTTTCAACACAGTTTAATTAATTAATAAAATGAAAAAAATCATGTCTTTTTTTTGAAGCATAAAATAGTTTTCATTTTAATACTAGTTCAAAAGTGAAATTACGACCTCTATACTGTGGAGAGTATTGAAACGCTCGACTGACGAATACAAATCTATACCGTGGGGAGATTTAGAAAACTATATTCAAACGTGGTGTCATCCTATACACTTCTATAATTTTCCGTTTGCTGTGATAGTAATAGTTTAGTCATAGTTAAGTATGTAGTTAGTAATAATAAAAGGATATTAATCCTTTCATCGGGGGGAGTATGTTTAAATATGGTTTTTGGTATTATAATTATATTTTATTTACTTGATGTATGCTGGTTTGCAAACATTCGATGCATACATTTATTATTTATTTTTTGCTAATTTGTTGTTAAATACGCAAGCTCGCACGCGGCGTCTGAAAGGATTTTTAATTCGGTACCGAAACTGTAGTAATTAAGTCGCGTTACTAGTAGTCGATATATAATCGTTGAGAAAGTGAAAATTGCAGTCGCATTCAAGTAATAAACATTATCGAAGTAATTTCAAATTTAGAAGTCTACCCTGAATCCATCGAAGCTAGAAGAAACACACAACACACAAGGTAAGGGCTTTTAAATTCTTGGGAAAATTATAATATATACAGTCCACCCTCTTACAAGTACATTAAGGTGAAACAACGGCCTTAACAATTACTATTAAAAAGGTGGAAGACATTATTTTATATTGGCTAGTACTATCAGAAACAGAAAAGGTAGAAGGTCGAAAAAAATGTTTTTATAACTTTTCTAAAAGTTTATTATTATTTCAAAAATATATTATAATTTATTTCTTTGGAATTGTCCCCTGGGTCACATAACTTTCCCCTGGGTCACACAATATGTGATCCAAGAGACGTGTGGACCAGGGGAAAAAATGCATGTTTTTAAAATATACCTAACCTATTTACTGTTTTAAAGATGAAAATTTGTATTAGTGCCCTTAAAACTATTACTAGGATCCTTTTTTTTTAGAATCAAACAAAGTCCAACTGGTACCTTTTAAAGTAATACTACTTTTTATGACACAGGAGAATGCACAGTTTTGCCACGCTGGTATAAAATATACAAAAAAACGTGTTGTGGCTTCAAGATAGTTTAAAACACGATTTTCTACTAAACTTCGTTACTAAATACATTGCCGCAAGGAGGCAGAACAAAAAAATGTGCGCTTACCCAGATAACAACCGTAAGGGGAATCAAAACGCAGATCGCCTTCAAGTCGTGCGGAATCATGCGTGACGGTAAAAACGCTGTGATATGATATTCATTTTATGATTAATGGGAATAAACTCAAGTGATTAGTATATGAGGGCACAAAATGATTGCAAACTTTTCACTTTTGCTGAATAGTTATCGCAAAATTGTAGATGTAATACTAGATCTACACTACCTATATCTTGCGAAAATTATTGATTTTACTTCATATTTTAACTAAAATTTATGAAAAGACTAAATTTGTAGACTACATTTGTATAAAAAATATACATAATTTTATTTGGAATTCCAAATTGAAATTGATCTTAAGATCAACGAGTTAACACGTTGATCATAAGATCACGTTTATAAATTAGTTTATCATTAATTTTTTCATGAATTTGTAAAAAATACCTAATTTTAATTAAAATTAGATATCTTTCTATAAATGTAGACAATTGTCACAAGAACTAAAATAAATGACTTAAAGAAAAAAATCTTTTGGATTATTACTTATAATATAATGACCAAAATTTCGCAATAAATCAATTTTATGAAAAATTAACAGCTGAGTTTTGGACTTGCCTTGTCTTGATTGTTTTTCTTACAACGTTTCGATTAGTAATTATCTCTAATGGTCTTCTGAAGAGAATGAAAGATAATTACTAATCGAAAAGTAAGAAAAACAATTAAATTAAGGCAATGCAAGTCCAAAATTCACCTGTTAATTATGCCCAGAAAAATTTCTTCAACTATCACGTGCTGGCTATATGAACCTCAATTGATGCATATATGTGACATATATGCGGATTAAGAATCACGTTGTGACTGCAATATGCGTAAATTATGAACCTCGCAATGTGTTTTGCTAAAATAGTTGTTAAAAACACTTAAACCAATTGATTTCGCTTAGTAAAGTTCCAAATGGCGTTAAACTTAATTTTTTATAAAGTTGACAGCAAATGTACAAGAAATTAGAAAATAACCCACGTATGCATAATATGCATTGCATATATCGATATATCGATGGTTTATCACCCGCTTGCAACCCCTGTCAGTTCTATAATAGAAGTTATCCAAAAAGTGTCCACCTTTACCCCGTTATACGGTATATATATATTAATAATAATAATAATAATAATATTGCCTTTATTAATAAAAATATTATTATTATTATTATATATATACCGTAGAACGGGGTATATATATATAATAATAATAATAATATTTTTATTAATAAAGGCAATATTATTATTATTATTAATATAATAAAATGAATATCATATCACAGCGTTTTTACCGTCACGCATGATTCCGCACGACTTGAAGGCGATCTGCGTTTTGATTCCCCTTACGGTTGTTATCTGGGTAAGCGCACATTTTTTTGTTCTGCCTCCTTTCGGCAATGTATTTAGTAACGAAGTTTAGTAGAAAATCGTGTTTTGAACTATCTTAAAGCCACAACACGTTTTTTTGTATATTTTATACCAGCGTGGCAAAACTGTGCATTCTCCTGTGTCATAAAAAGTAGTATTACTTTAAAAGGTACCAGTTGGACTTTGTTTGATTCTAAAAAAAAAGGATCCTAGTAATAGTTTTAAGGGCACTAATACAAATTTTCATCTTTAAAACAGTAAAGAGGTTAGGTATATTCTAAAAACATGCATTTTTTCCCCTGGTCCACACGTCTCCTGGATCACATATTGTGTGACCCAGGGGAAAGTTATGTGACCCAGGGGACAATTCCAAAGAAATAAATTATAATATATTTTTGAAATAATAATAAACTTTTAGAAAAGTTATAAAAACATTTTTTTCGACCTTCTACCTTTTCTGTTTCTGATAGTACTAGCCAATATAAAATAATGTCTTCCACCTTTTTAATAGTAATTGTTAAGGCCGTTGTTTCACCTTAATGTACTTGTAAGAGGGTGGACTGTATATATTATAATTTTCCCAAGAATTTAAAAGCCCTTACCTTGTGTGTTGTGTGTTTCTTCTAGCTTCGATGGATTCAGGGTAGACTTCTAAATTTGAAATTACCTCGATAATGTTTATTACTTGAATGCGACTGCAATTTTCACTTTCTCAACGATTATATATCGACTACTATCAAAGTAACGCGACTTAATTACTACAGTTTCGGTACCGAATTAAAAATCCTTTCAGACGCCGCGTGCGAGCTTGCGTATTTAACAACAAATTAGCAAAAAATAAATAATAAATGTATGCATCGAATGTTTGCAAACCAGCATACATCAAGTAAATAAAATATAATTATAATACCAAAAACCATATTTAAACATACTCCCCCCGATGAAAGGATTAATATCCTTTTATTATTACTAACTACATACTTAACTATGACTAAACTATTACTATCACAGCAAACGGAAAATTATAGAAGTGTATAGGATGACGCCACGTTTGAATATAGTTTTCTAAATCTCCCCACGGTATAGATTTGTATTCGTCAGTCGAGCGTTTCAATATTATTATTATTATATATATACCGTAGAACGGGGTAAAAATGTATATATACATGTTACCGACAATGTAAAAAATCCGGCAATGTTGTTGCAGAGTATCTATATATATATATATATATATATATATATATATATATATATTATATATATATATATTATATATATATATATTATATATATATATATAATATATAAGGGTGTCCCTTATTTTTATTTTTTTTACGCATACCCTCTAATTATATTTATTACTTGTTTATATACTCCCAGTAAAAATTTCAGCTCATTCTATAAACGTTAGGAGCGCGCGATATTTTGTAACACGAAACACTTTAAAAAGAAGATATACTTCATGACTGTATTTTTCAAATGATTTTATTGAATATGATTACTAATTAATATTATTGCTTTTGTTTCTATCATTTGTTTCACTAATTAAGTTGATTTTATCCCTTAAATATATTAATATACTAATTAGTATTGCTAAAATATACTGTTATATGAAATTTCAGCTTTTTATAAGCATTTCTTTTCTTGATGTCCTCCCAAAAATATTTCAGACAGTTCAATAAGTTTTCGGTAGTCATCTCTCACAATAGACTCTTTTACTTATTTAGAGTAAAACCCATAAAGTTTATCAATTTCAGAGTTTACGGCCTATTCACCAGACTCCCTGTGAAAATATACATTTTTATTAAAGTATACACATAAATAAAACTATATTTTAACATTTGTCAATAATTTATAATATAAGGGTCACATAATAACAAACACAAAATGACTTACGATCAAAGACCTCGCGACAAACCGTGTTACAAAATACCGCGCGCCTAACGTTGGCTAACGGAGGGTTTAGATGCAAGTCGGCACGGGTTCCCGTTTATAGAATGAGCTGAAACTTTTACTGGGAGTATATAAACAAGTAATAAATATAATTAGAGGGTATGCGTAAAAAAAATAAAAAAAAAATATATATAAAATATATAAATATATATATATATATATATATATACCTATATACATATAATATAAGCAATATAAAGTAGTTTTGGAGTCCATTTATAGTGAGAATTCAAATATGAATAAAAATTACAGTTGAGACTTACGTTGTTCGTGAATTAACTCCCCACAATAATCAATACAAGATTGATAGCTTATAAAGTTATTATAGTTGCCACCACATCCGTCAAAAGCAATGCAATCTCCTTTTTCGTAGTTAAAATACCAATGGTTATATGGTCTGTCTTGACAATTACCACGATCAAGGGGAAGTTTGCATACATCTAGTAAAATAATAAAAGCAATTTAAATTAACTTAATTATTTTAAGGTAATACCTACAAATACTTAAAAAAAGTTCATGTCCTAAGGCTGAGAGTGAGTCTTTTGTGTTGAGCTCAAAATTTGAATACCGACTCGTAACAAAGGCCTAAATTGAGCAAAGCACGAAAAAAAAATCTCAGCCGCATGGCATACAATATTTTATCTTCAAGGCATAATTTTATTTGTTAAACGATACATAAAACATACAATTAAAATAATTATTAAAAGAAGAAAGTGAGGTTAAAATAAGATCTGACAGTAGTAGAATTTTTCATTGGTCCAAATAGCTTTTTTACATACTAGGAGGTAAAAAACTTTACCCGATTGGTCTAAATCACTTTTACAGGAGGTTTATGATTAAAGATAATAGGTATTTATGTCATAAGGCTGAGAACGATACATAAAACGTACTTATGTAAAATAACAATTAATAAAAGTATAAAGTGAGGTCAGATAGCGTCAGAGTTTTCAGCATGCTCACTGCAGTTATCGAATTTTTTTATTGGTCCCAGGACTAGGATGTAAAAAAACTTCACCTGATTGGTCTAAATTATTTTTACAGCCTAGGATATAATTGAATACTTTGGTAGTAAAAATAATAAAGCTTAAATTATAGAACTCTTGAAGATAAGATTATTCTTATAACAATAATTATTTATTGATTTTTTATTCTTAAGTTGTTTAGATGTGCCTATTTAAAAAAACTGCTTAAAATTACTAATTTCACTTTTTTTTCAAGTAATGTAAGTTCTCCTTAAAATGGTTATTTTTAACTAATTTAGACTTAATAGGTGGGGCGTGGTTAGATTAATTAAAATATGGTTATGGAATTTTATTACTACGCATAAGACAACTTATTCAATAAATAAACATGTTTAAAATAGTGGTTATTTTTTAATTTTGAAAAGTCAATTTAATTCTTCTTATTAACGATTATATAAATCATACTGATTAATACATAAAATATCGTTCTAAAAACAGGATAAATATGAACTACAATTTTTATATATTAATAAATAATTTAAAAATATACCTGTGGCAGTAATATTAGGCCTGCTTTCTTGATGGCTTACACAAATGGTTTGACATTCTTCGGGAGAACTAAACCTATTTCCATTTCCCATACATCCTCCAAATGCAAATTCTTGACATGAGCCTGATGGTTTGTCATAGTAATACTTTATAAAGTATCCTCTACATGGACCTTGATCTTTAGGTAAATTACAAACATCTAAAATCACAATAAAAATTAAATTATAGCCATACAAAAAAAACAGAACATCTTAGGACTTTTTTTCATGTCGGTAAGTCGTAACAAAATATTTTACTATTTTCTCTTTTGCATATAAATATAAATTGTTTTATTTACCTTGTCCTCTAAAATGTCCACATTGTCGTAAACATTGCTCTTCACTATTAAAACGATTATTGTTGCCACCACATCCGGTATAAGTAAAAACAACACATTTTTGTGAGTTTATATCGAAGGCGAATGCATTGTATTCTTCTGTACAGTTTCCAGTATCAATTTGCTCATAGCACATAGCATATTCTTCAGCAGGAACTATAATTTAAAAATTAATATTTATTATGTACTCGGCTTCAGTGGTTCTTCATTATTAGGGATGGGATTTTAGTTATTTTACCTTTTTTCAACCTATGTAACTATTTGAAAACCAATAATGACAAAATGTGTTTTAAAAGATTTTCTTTTATATGAACCTAACTTGTTTTCACCTTTTTTACCTTTTTTGAAGGTTTTTGCTTTAAACTACCTTTTTTATACTTTTCTTACCTATTTTTTAAAATAGTTTTCACCTTTTTTACCTTTTTTGGAGGTTTTTGCTTTAAACTACCTTTTTATACTTTTGTTACATATTTTTTAATTTGTCAGTTTATTTTCGCATATTTGTTATCTATTTTTACTTATTTTATTTTTTTGTGTTCTTTTTAAATTTTCCGCCAATATTTTATCCAGGGCGTGCAACTCAACGGTATAGAATTTTTTCTTATGGTCACAGCATATAAATTATTCTATTATTCTAAATTATTTCTATGGGTCACAGTCTGTAACAGTAACTTTCTTTACAGTATTTCTTTGTATTGAGCTTATGTTCTGTCATAGAATATCTGTGTAGTGAGTGTCACTCAGTGAAACACAGTTTATTGCATAGAAATAGTTTATTGTGGCCCACAATTTGTGGGTATGTTCTGTGTTTGGGTATGCGGCTAAACAAAATTATAAAAGAAACTTGAACTTTTAATGTTTTTTTACCTAAAATGCTGTTTTTTTAACCTAAAATGCTTTTTTTAGTACCTTTTTAGTTACCTATTTTTCAGTTTTTAGTACCTAAATATTCCCTATTCATTATAAACTCAATAAATATATAAATTCAATATAATTTCAATATATATGTATGTATATTAGGGTGTTTAAAAAAACAATTATTTTTTTCTTCTAATGGTGTTGAAAAATTAATAGTACATTAAAAAACAAAAATTTTGGCGCATATTTGAGCCCTTAATATTAATATTAAGGTTTGCCTCAATTCATTTGTTGTTTTTTCATTTCAATAACACGGGAATTTTTATTTTTTTCATTTTGAATTCTTATAACTTTGGAATGGTTTGTTTTCGTTATAGATAAATTCACGCTATACAAAAAACATCTGAAGGTCACAGTTCTTCAGATCAACCGTTTCAAAGATATCAGCGATCAAAAATAACACTAATAAAAAATTTCAAATATTTTCAAATAAAATACAAAAAAATATCAAATGCCTTATTTATATTATTTTTTATGTAAAATCATTTTAATTCTGCTAACCTGAGACTGTAAACTTTTTTTTTATTTATATTTATATATAAATAATGTATATACAGGGTGTTTCAAATATATATATATATATATATATATATATATATATATATATATAAAAAGTTTACAGTCTCAGGTTAACAGAATTAAAATGATTTTACATAAAAAATATAATAAATAAGGCATTTGATATTTTTTTGTATTTTATTTGAAAATATTTGAAATTTTTTATTAGTGTTATTTTTAATCGCTGATATCTTTGAAACGGTTGATCTGAAGAACTTTGACCTTCAAATGTTTTTTGTAGAGCGTGAATTTGTCTATAACTCCTTTCGCTTGGATGTTGCGAAAACAAACCATTCCAAAGTTATAAGAATTCAAAATGAAAAAAATAAAAATTCCCGTGTTATGGAAACGGAAAAACAAAAAATGAATTGAGGCAAACCTTAACATTAATATTAAGGGTTCAAATAGGCGCCAACATTTTTGTTTTTTAATGTACTAATAATTTTTCAACACCATTGGAATAAAAAATAATTGTTAATTTTTTAATTAATGTTTTAAAAGTAAAAATTAAAAACACCGAAACCACAGAAGTTGTCAATGAATTATTGATTTTACTTAAAAATTTTTAAAAGCTTATCGATTAAAATGGAGTATATTTAGTTTAATTGGGTTTATTAAAATTAAGTTTAATATTAAATGCTGCAAAGAAATTTTTAAAACAAATTACTACCTACAAACAACAATATATTGGATATTTGTAATTTTTTTTATTAGTTAGGAGGCCTCCGGTTTGGAATTAAAGGTTTTAAAAAGAAAATATTGCAAATAATGACTTTTAGTTTATTACATAAGTTGATGATTATAATTATGATTATAGAGTATTTAAATAGTCGGAAAACCATAGTATGCCGATTTTTTAAATACTCTTCTGTGTTATAACCGATATCTTAGCTATCTCCTCACAAATATTGTTATTCTAGACTTTTACCGAAAGCTGTACGAAAAATGTTCAGGTGGGGAGAAATTTCGCAGAAAAAGTTAGTCACAGGCGACGCATATTATTATTATTATTTTTAATATGTGGGCGGGGCCTTATCTTGCAGAACCCATTTTTTCCATACCATATCCATATTTATGATATTAGGAAAAAAATCATTTAACATTACCTACGCTTAGAATTGATGGTGTAATTGTTTTCTCTAAAAAATAAGGCCCAATAATCCCTTTTAAAAAACAAACCAAAATGTGATCCGATTTGAATAAAGGGGCTGAAATAACGTTCTCAGAAACTGATACCGCTGCAATAACCTATATTTTGAGAGAGGTAAAGTATGCCAAATCCCTTAAGAAAAAGTAATGCATAAACGACAACATTTGTCACTTAGTCTTGTCAAATATTTTCACCCATAAAAATTGGTATGATTATCAACGATGATATTTACGAATTGAAACCGAGCTGCAGATTTCACGGTTTCAATGAGTAAATATCAACGATTATAATCGATTATATTTACTCATTGAAACCAAAGCAGCACATTTCACTCGTCCTGCGGACTGAAATCTGCAGCTAATTATTAAAAATACCACGAGTTATATTTAGTGAGAAAATATAATGAATTTTAGGATTTAACAAATTTCAGTTTAAGATTTAAAATTAAAATGTGCTTTAAAATATAAAAAGTTTATAATTTAGTATTTTTATCATAATATACACTTCGCGTAAAATTTAACGCACCACTAAAAATTTGCCACAATTTCAAAGCTGATTTTCTCGCGAACCGTCAAACCGAATTTGGTGATTTTTTTATTAAATTGTAGGTTTATTCTTCGGTAATATTGCGTTTATTGAAATATTTTTTCAAATTTACATTTTGAGTTTATACAGTGTGCACGAGTGATAATAAGTTTTTTCCCGGAAATTTGAAATGCCCTATGGGTTGTACCAGCTTTAAAAGTATATGACTTAAATAATTAAACCAAAGATTCATATTTTCTTATCATTTAGTTTTTTGATTCACCTCTTTTTTTAAATGAGATATAGGGTTAAAGACTAAATAACTCCAGTTTAATGTAAAATGAAAGAACTTAACATAGTTAGGTCATGAAAAATAAATAATGGTGTACAAATGTCAGAAACTATCATTTTTATTTATAAGTTTTTGCATAAAATTATTGTAATGGAGCGCCAAGTGAGAAATTTGAATCGTGATAAATGTGTAAGAATTATTACATTGGCCGAGCAAGGATTAAGCTGCCGTGCCATAGCTCGGAGATTGGGAGTTAATCATACCTTAATATCCCGTGTTATTCGACTTTTTGAAGAAACCAAAGATCATAATAGACCTAATGGGCAGGGAAGGCATCGAATGACAATAGCCCTACATGATCGTTTCCTTTATTTGCATGCTTTGAGAAAACGATTTGTAACAGCAAGAAATCTACAGGTACAACCTAATGCTACTCATAATTTTCAAACAAGTGTGTCCATCCTAAGAAGACGTCTTGCGGAACAGAATTTGACCTTCAGAATTCCAGCAACAGGACCGAAGTTAAATGCAAATCATCTTAGATTAAGGCTTCAATTTGGCAGATAATATTTTGGCTGGAATATTGAGGATTGTCAGCGTGTACTATTACAGACGAGTCTAGGTTTTGTTAATTCAGCTCTGATCGGCGAGTAGGGGTTCTCGGGCGTCCAAATGAGGTATTTTTACAGTGTAAAAGTCGTGAAACCATGCTATTTAATGAAAGTTCTGTAATGGTTTGGGAAAGTATTTCCTTGACAGCTCGCATAGAATTCGTCATTGTTTGTGGAGGTACCATGAATAGTGTAAAATATATCGAGGACATTTTATCTGAGCATGTTTTCCCTTTCGCCCCCTACATCTGTAATAATTTTTACTAATTCAGGATAACGCAAGACCTCACACCGCTCATATAGTGCAAGAGTACTTACATGAGGTGGGTTTTGAAACTTTAGACTAGCCTGCAAATTGTCCAGATCTGAACCCCATTGAGCATTTTTGGGATAATATGGGTAGAAGATTAAGAAATCATGATCCCTTGCCTGCTTCCCTTGATGACGTAGCAAATATTTTTATTTAAATTTCTCGCTGCAGACGATCGATAGTACTATCGTCCTTTGTTATCATTTACTAGAAGGCCAACACGTCGGTTGGTAATGACAAACAGGTTACTACAAACGTTTTAGTGTGTTTTAGACTAAACGTGGTAAAATTGTGTTTAGTTTTATAACTTTTCGATATATATGAGGCATTCCATGTAAACTCGGCCACCCCCTCCTGTGCAAAATTGACTAAAGTTTTTCGAAACGTGCAAGTGATGAATTTTTAGCTTAGCGTCTTAACTTTTAAATGCCGAGTGGTATTTTGTAAAATTTCAAAATGGCGGTGTCAATATAGCGACTGCAAGCAATGGACATCACTTTAAAAAATCCGTAATACGTAGTTTACATTAACTAACAACTTTATAAAATTAAAAATTGAATTTTATTTAATGCACTGATCTATTATCAGTGATTCTATGTATTTTTTACCGCTGATTACACAATGGTTCGCCCCTAACCTCAAAAAAAAACTTAAAAAGCAGTTTCTCGTAATTTACTCCCGCTTAATGCATTTTTGATAGATGGTTTAGCATTTGTTTTTTGTATTTCTCATTGCCTAATATAAATATGGCCTTACCTCAGAGTCGACATAAAACTGTACGTTCCTAACCTA